TAGAGGGCCCATCTTTGTTGAGAGACTAAGCCCTACATTAAAGGCTTTTGGACAATACCCCCTCACCACCAATAAATTTCTCAGTATCTTAATATGTACTAGTACTTAATATGTACTAATAAAATACTAGATTAAAGAAGAAAGCAAGATCTAGAAACCAAAAGCAAGATCTAGAAAATTTATCATTCTCAGCATCCAATAAGAAATTATAGACATACCCAAAAAAGCAAGAAAATTTGACCCATAATGCAGGGGAAAATCAATTACTAGGAACAGACCTAGAAATGACAGAGAACATGGAACTAACAGAAAAGGATGTTTAAAGAACTATTACAAATACATTCCATATATTCAAGGTGGTAGGATAAACATGAGCATGATGAGGAAAGAAATGGAAGGTATAGATAGACAAAATGGAATTTTTAGAGATGAAAAAGGAAGTAATAGTAATATTAGATGCTAGCAAAATATCAGTAAACCTGAAGGGATAGAAGTTATAGAATAAAGCACAATGAGAAAAAAAATTTGTAAAAAGGAGAGTGTAAGTAACTTGTATGAAAATATCAAGTGTAAGACATACATGTAATTGGAGACTTATAGGGAGGCGAAACTAAAAAATGTATTTGAAGAAATTATGGCCAAAAGTTTTTCATATTTAATGAAACTATAAACCACAGAACAAGAAATTCAATGAACTCAAAGAGATTGACCTAAAAAAAATTCTCAGACATATCATAATCACTTTGCTGAGAATCAGTAGTAAAGAGAAAACCTTAGGGGGAGGGGAGAAGAAGGCACATTTATTGTAGAGGAAGAAATATACTTTTTGTTAGAGATTATGCAAGGGAGAGGACTGTGTAATGCCATCTTTAATAGAAGGAAAAACATCACGAACCTAGAATTCTTTAACCAGTTATACTATTTTTCAAAACAGAAGTTAAAATACCCTTTCAGCAAACAAAAGCTGAGAATTCATTGCAAGAAGACCCCCACCATATTGAATAAATATTCAAGGAAAGTGATATAAACAAAATGGTAGAATAAACAGCTCCAAGTTTTTATTCCTCTGAAAAACATTGAAAAAGCATCCAGAAGCTATCTGAGCCAGCTCATAGGAGCTCCGGAAAACAATAAAATTTTATGGCAACTAAGCAAATACCCAATGAAGAAAAAGCCATCTTCAAAATGATAGGAAATTTCATGGCATTTTTACTCTTGCTTTACTTCTTCCTAGGATATCAGCACTCTTGGTCTTGAGCAGTGGCAGCCCAATTCCCAGTAACCTTGATTGAACTAGATAAAGCATAGGAAGACCTTATGTGCATACATACCTTATGTATGTATGTTTTAATCTTGGTCGATACAGGAAGGACTGACTAGTTCAGCTCTGTCTCACATAACTTGGAATTCAGGCAGGTCAGTTAGATCCTGTCAGCTGAGTCTGCCGTTTGTTTGTTTGTTTGTTTGTTTGTTTGTTTGTTTGTTTTCATGAGAGACAGAGAAAGAGAGGCAGAGACATAGGCAGAGGGAAAAGCAGGCTCCATGCAGGGAGTCCAATGTGGGACTTGATCCTGGGACCCCAGGATCATGACCTGAGACAAAGGCAGACGCTCAATCACTGAGCCACCCAGGCATCCCTCTATTTTAAGATAGTCTTTCAGAAGATTCTCCCAACAACTTCCAGTTATATGTAGTTGGCCAGAAACTTGTCACATAGTTACCCTTGTCTTCAACAGAGGCTGGAAAATGTAGGGTTTTGTTTTGTTTTGTTTTTTGTTTTTTAAGCAGGGAACATTTCCACCTAAATGCTAAAAAAATTTATGTTCCTAAGATAATATATATTGTGGGAAGTCAATGATCAGTCTCTGTCACAGAGAACAAGAGGTTAGTTAGGAGACTAATGTTTGGAAAAAGATCATAGTGGCTTGTGCTACAATGGTAGTGGGGTTGATGGGGAGATATAACCGGACATTCAATATATTTTGAAGGCAGCAAACACAGGAGTTAATGCTGGATTAGATATGGTAAAGAGGAGAGAAATAAAAAAGTGATATTTAGGTTATAAGCTAGAAGATGGTATAATCAATAACTGAGATGAGGAAAAATAGAGAAAGGACAAGGTTCTATGGGTTTGAGAGAGAGGGAGGGGAACAGCATTAGTAATCCAGAATTCTCTTTTGTGATTTGTTAAATCTGAGATACCTATTACACAGCTAAGAGGAAATCATGATCTTTTTGATAACTTGAGATACTACTTTTTTGAAAATCTTAAAATATTTTTTTAATATCTCAAGATACTATTTGGAATGTTTTCCAAGGGTCACCTTCTCCTCACATTCCTCAAAAATAATCTCTATTTACTCTGGGGTTAATTCTGTTTGTTCTTATTGATTCTTCATTGCATGTATTGATTTTCTTCATATATCTGGTAAACTTTGTTGGCTCATTTTATGTTTGTGAATGAAGGAATATATTGACTGTATAGTTATGCTTTGTGTGACGGGCAAGATTCCCTGGAGGGTAAATGGGGATGGAAGAGGCTAGGCAGGATGGCTGGGGACTCAACAATATTTCCAAAGAACCCATGAGTTTCTCTCCTAGATGGAACTTCCTTTTCTTTCTTTTTATACCCTTTTTGTTATCTGATGTGGAAATGTCATCGACAGCAAGCTCTATTCTGCTTCCCTGTCAAGGCTCAAAACTCATAGGATCTCTACCTGGGCAGATTGCACATTTACTTTAGAAAGCAGGTTTTTTGATGTTCTGGGTAGATGACTGAGAAAGACAATGCTACCAGCAGCATATACTCTGGTATGCTGAAAAGGAGAAGAGCCAGCTGTTCTGAATGCATCTTTTTAATTAATGATAATTGCACCATCATCTGAAACTCTTTGAAATGCTGTCCTTGAATTTTTTGCTTCTAAGATCCACCTGATTTCTGTCGTTCAAGACTCTAATTTTCTTGATGGGGGTTTCTATTCAATCAATCACATCTGCTTTCATAATTTCTGAATTTTCTCAACTTTCTAAATCCTGGTGTCTCATTGATTTCCAGTATTGCTATGGGATTTTTCTTTTTGAAATATTGTTTTCTGTTAATTCACTAGGACCTTGGGAGGTAGGAGAGAATAGAACCACATGTTTAGTCCATCATCTTGAAGCTTCTATATTGGTTTGTTTTACTGTCATTTTCTGACTTCCTGAGATAAATGCTTAAAGTATTTCTCTCTAGTGTAAATATACTGTTTTTTTTAATTCATAAAGCACTTCATATTCTTTAAATAACAATACAGAGTTAAATGGCATAAAAGTTCTTGTCTAGAGATGTTCGTATTTTATGTCCTTTCACACATTTTTTTAAGCTTATATTAGGGAAGAGTTTTTTTTTTAATTTTTTTATTTATTTATGATAGTCACAGAGAGAGAGGCAGAGACACAGGCAGAGGGAGAAGCAGGCTCCATGCACCGGGAGCCTGACGTGGGATTCGATCCCGGGTCTCCAGGATCGCGCCCTGGGCCAAAGGCAGGCGCCAAACTGCTGTGCCACCCAGGGATCCCTAGGGAAGAGTTTTTATATCTTTTGTGTTTTTTACAAAAAAAGATAATATATATATTTTTACTGTTCTTCAGCTTTGTCATATATATTTCATTTATAAATTTTCTACTAAATTTGTTTAAAATAATGGAATTTCAAATGTTGGAGTTCAAGCTGTTTTAGGGAAATTTGGAGAAATTCAAGCAAAGAAAAACAAAACAATCAAAAGAACAGATGTGGAAAAGTCTGAGGTGTATTTTAAGAATTCATAGACACATCTGTCTGAAGGGGAGAAGTTATAGGGAATATTGAGAAACTTGTAGAAATAATTTAGTCAATGTGTTAAGACAAATAGCTGCAAAAGTGGGAAGCTGATGAAAATTTAAAGTCATGTTATTAACTGCTTAATATTAATGAACAGTTAAAGGTATTACTAATGGAAACATCATTCATTGAACTGCTATTTTAATTAACTTGATATATAATAAACCTCCTGCTGTCTAAAGGAGATAATATATTGGAAAGTAGTTTGTAGTACTAAGTACTCTCAAAGAGACGGTGTCAAGTTTTGTCTAGCTGAGTTGGCAGGGTGAATACACATTATGATACTTCCAAAGAATCACTTTTAGTCACTGCAGTCTTGATTGTGTAGTGGAAGGAGTATCCAATGAAAATTTAAGATGCTTAGGATTTAGGCTACTAATCATCTGGATAACTTGGGGCAACAAACTTCAAGTTCAGATTCTTGTATGAAACGAGTAGGATTGGATTATCTCTAAAGCATCTTTCATCTCCAAAAATTCAGTGGTTTTATGATTCTATAATTGTTCCTATAGACCTTAATCTAGAATCAAGTGTTTCCTTAGGCAGTGTAAGTACCCATTTAGCAATTACAGGTAAAGGAATCATTAAAAATGCTTTCTATCCCAAATGCCATTTATTTATTTTTTTTTAAAGGTAAGAAGGGGCAGAGGGAAAGGAAGAGAGAATCCTAAGCAGGCTCCACACCCAGCACATGAGCCTCATGCAGGGCTAGATCTCACGACCCTGAGATCATAACCTAAGTCAAAATCAAGAATTGGATGCTTAACCAACTGAACCACCTGGGGCCCCTAAATGCCAGTTATTATCTAATCCATTTTATAACCTTTTAAAATGAAATTATATTAATTCTCACAATTCTATTTCTTTTCTGCTTTTGTTTTTGCTTCAAGTTGCTGTGCATTGTCTTGATTTTACAAACTCAGGATGAATATTATAGTATCAAAAGCTAAGATGATATGTGTAAATGTATTATATATGTATAGATTTCTTTGATAATTGACAAAGTAAATTATAGTAGTTATGAGAAAAATATTTAGGTTTTAAGCTTTTTTATGTCTTTATACATTGAAAGAATAAAATTATCTTGGGAAATATCCTTGCATTATAAGCAGTCTAAAATTAAAACTTCTCTTTTTATAAGGTGATTTTTTCACCAGTGGAATACACTTTACCATCTTTCAGACCGGAATTTATAGAATTCAAACCAAAGTATCCAGTGAGTCCTGAATTATCCTATCCCAATAGCAATTATATTTAAATACTAGGCTTCTCTAATATTTTATATAATTTAATGGTTCCTAAACCAGACTACCCATTATAAACACCTGGCTGTCTTTTAAAAAATATCTGTTCTCAGGTCCTACCTCTGACCTGATGAATCTCAATCTGGAAGTGAAGCCTGGGAATCTGTATATCTCAGAAAAACCCAGGGAATTCTTATGCTGTCATCTGGATATCAACTAACATTTGAGGAACAGTTACAATAAATTGTATCCATTACAATGAAGTTTGAACAACTAAGTTGAAATAAACTAAAACACATACTAAGCTGATTACTTCACATTTTGCTTTTTTTCAACTGGATAATATAGAAGTTGTATGAACAAACATTAGAATATGTTTGAAATATTTGAATAAACTTCATCCCAAAGGCTATTTCAGTGATAGACAAGTTCGATCCCAGAGCAACAAAACTGCCCATGGATATTACACTGAAATTTCCCTATAATCCAGAATTTTTTATACTACGCTCTTTTAGCCATTTATCAGGCATGTGTGATATTCATCAAAAAGTAAGATTCTACTGTGACATGCTAAGTAGTGGGTGAAACTCATCATCATTGTTAAAATTTGCAGACTTAAAAGCAGATGATCTATGCTCCCAAGTTAGTCTTTAGAAAATATTTGTGATACTTTTAATAGAATATCTACTACTTGCTTTGCATTTAAATGTTTTTTTTATTGTTACTAAAATGGTAAATATTTCTAGGATAGGACTTAAATCTTGATGTTAGCTATTGTTTAAGTAAGTGCAGCTAACACTGGAAATTAAGTTCTTTAAAAAAAAAACTATGAATGCAGTTTAAGTATTTAAAATACTCTAGGTGGCAAAAAGCTCTCGGATACAAAATAGTATAGTATCAGAATTACGAATTTTAAAATTTTGCCTTAAAATTTTCATTCCAATTTCAAATATTTTAAAATAATTAGTTTTCTCTTTGTAGACAGTAAGTAGATGAATAGATAATTTGACAGATTGCTCAAAGAAAATTAACTAGCAAATTTATTATAAATTCAAATAAATACTACAGAATTTTCTAACCTTTTGTTTTTAACATTACAGTTCCAGGAATTCAACTCTAAGAATGGTTTTGATCCTTTTCTAAGGAATATAAACCACAAAATGTCAGTCGGAAAAAGGAAAGAGCAAGATATGTACAAATGTAGAAATATTTTAAGTGCAGAGGTTATAGAGCATGAAGACCAAGATCCTCCTTACCCAACATATTCAAAAACTGCAAGACCTACTAATAAAACCTGGCCTCATGATCCTGGCATCACCACAGCAAAGACTTTAGGCACAGAGACTAAGCTAAAGTTAGCCCATGATTCCGATTGCATCACGATAAAGACTTTAGACACTAAGAAAAAGTTAAAAGAAAGACTACCAAATGTATCTCTACCTAATTTTGAAGCAGAATCATCAATGACTGGAAATGTAAATACATGTCGCTTCTCAAAATCATTAAATCTTACTTCTCACCTAGAAAATTTAAAACAATCAATTATGTTCAAGTCAATTTTAAGTAAAAATCTGCAAGACCTTTCAGATAAGTTATTTTCTAAACCAGAGTTTTCTGTGGACACTGAAGCAAGAAAGGAAAGTCATAGTTCTCCACTTCCAAGTGTTTATGATGAGCCACCAAGTAGTTTGGAAAACAAAGTATTTGAAAAAGTTAAAGATTTAAATAGCAGGCTTTCAGAAAAATATATTTTAAGTTCAAAGTCTCTTTTAAGACAAATAATTAAAGATATTCCTGCAGATTCACTTTCAGAAGGTGGACCAAGAAATTCTCCAGTGGTAGAAAGGGCACTTGTCTCTGAAAAACACTTGGAAGCTGGTGAGATTGATTTTCCAATAAAAAATAATTTCAAAAAGAAACATTCAAAAATTGAACTGTCTAGCTCCAAACCAGATGTAAGTGACAGTGCACATGATTATGTTATAAAGCAAATATTCACTGCACCTGTCTTCTCAGAGTTGGAAGTGGGAGTGAAAGAATTAAGTGGGACATCAGTAAATTTGGAGAATCAATTACCCACAGCTTGGGAGAGTATATCTTCAAATATTCTACTTCAATATGAAGAAAACAATGATGAAATAGAATTGCCACAGGCCAAATCTGTTATAAGCCAGATAATACAAGCATTTCCTATAGATAGTCTTTTGGAATCTGGGATAATCAAAGTGATAGAATTAGATAAAGAATATCAGAAGAGATCTGTAATGGCTTCAGAGACCGTCTTTGCTGGAGAAGAGCCAAAGTATTCCACAGAGGATTATTTGGAAACCCAAAGCAGTATAGAACCTCTTTCAGATCAGAATACACTCATCATTCCCAAAGAAACCACTTCTTTGAATAGAGTTGAATATGTGGATGAAGGTCAAAATTTATCCCTACAACATTCAAAATATCAGTCAGCACCAGATAAAAAAACAGATATGCCAAATAATAGTCAGAGGTTTGCTAGAGAAGAAAATGATCTAAATTCTACTTTAGAAAATTTAAGTAACTCATTAATGGGTAAACTTAATGATTCAGATGTAATAATGTTAAAATCCTTCTTAAAACATACGTTTAATATTTTTTTCAAATATAATCAGTTTGATAGAAGACAACCAGAAAAAGAATTAGAAAGACTAATTCAGCATCCTGTTCCAAATAATACAGAAGAGCTTGAAGAAATCAAAGAGAATTTTGATAAAGCAGATAAATTAGACAGAAAACCTATTTTGAGTCCAAAACTGCGTATATTTCTAGAAGAACTCTCAGAGTCAGAAATAAAAAATTTAAAATCTGAACTAAGTAAACATATCCAACATTACCTTGTAGAAAGACTTTCAGAATCTGGACACATCACCAAAGAAGACTTACCAAAAATCTATCAAAATCTGTATTTGATGAATGAGAAAGTGGAGCCAAAAGGGCAAAATATTTTTCTGGAAAAATATTCGGAAACCGTAAAAGAAATCATGTCTTTTGTAAATAATTTTAATCATCATTTCATAGATAAACATTTGGAAATAAAGCTAAGATCTTTTTTAAATGAGATTCTCCAAAACTATTTCCTAAAAAACCTTTCTGAAAGCAGTTTATTTAAAGAGACAGAATCTGACACTGTCCACTCAAACATGTCTTCTCTAAGAACTAAAAGTGCCTCCATATCTTTTCATGAGTTAAGACAAGACATTTCAAGGGGGAGTTTTGGGAAGAGACTTGACTTAAAGATGAAATATCCTTTAAATAAATCTCTACAAAACTATCTTATAGCTTTAACAGAAAATGAACTTTTAAATCTAAAAGCCAATTTAAGCAAACACCTCCAGAGCCTTTTTATAGAAAAACTTTCAAAGTCAGGACTACTCACAGAAAGACAATTAGAGGGGATCAACCAACATATAAATTTGATCAATTCTAGTACTATACCATTAAAATGTATAAAGCCAGATTTATCTTTTAGAAATGAAAATCAACTTATGGAAGAGAATTCAGAAAAGCAAAATAAATATTCAAAAATTATTCAAAAAACGACTTTACAAAAAGTTCCTAAAGATAGACTTACTGAAACAGAACTGACCAAAAAGGAAGAAAGGGAATATTTTTCCTTACAGCATATTAAGGAAAATCCATCAATAATTGAGGAACAGAAAAGATACTATCCTAAAGAAGGAGCCAAAACCTTGAGATTAATTAAACTACAACCTTCTTTCATCAAAAACACCCAAGTGATTCCATTAAATAAGTCATCAGAAAGACTTACAGATATAGTACTTAAGAAACACAGGAAAGAATATGGTTTTATCCAGCTTCCTCGAGCAGAAAATTATGATTTTAAAACAGATATTCAAGACCCACATAGTTGGAGTGGCAAATCAAAAGCAAGTCAGTCAAATGTTTGCTTTGAAAGGACACTAAAAACAAAGCCCCTTGGAAAAAAAGAGCATAATATGTGTAAGTTGATAGCACAGGAAAAACCTGAAGCTGTACTGTCACTTTATCCAAGAATTCCTAATTGCAAAATGCCAAGTGAAAATGAAGACTATGTATACAAATACACTTTTCCTTCCAGGCAGAGTAGCACTTTAACTCATTTCAATTTAGAGGCTGGGGAGAAATCAAAGTTAGAAGACCAGTATATTCGGAGGTTGAAAGGAAATAATAATAATAATAAAAAACAACATTTAGTAACATTTGCACAATACAAAAAAATACATACTCTTTCTGTAAGAGAAAATGGAATTTGTGATGAAAAATATGCCAAGTTCCCTGAATCACAGTCTTTAAAGTACAAAATTGTGGAAGCTCAGAAAAACTCAAAACCATCCCTCTTCCCAGAAGTATTAAAGACAGAAAATCTAAAGCCCAAGGTACGAAAAGAAAGAGACCGTGTCAACAAACAAAAGAAGTCATTTAGCAAGATACTACCAACCACACTGCCCACCACAAGAATTCTAAGGAAATCTGTTCCAAGAACATTGCTTCACTGGACCGCAAGAAGAACTATACATGTAATACTGTTTTTCTAAGTCTTCTAGTTTTGTATTTAGCAAAGTTTGTAAATACTCTACTTTACGGTATATATGTCTGTATGCAAGTATGTGTGTAACCTTTGTTGCCCCAAGATATACGGACTGTCAAATTTTAAAAAATTCTTCTGACATTCAAATTCACCTCACCCAATTCAAAACACAGTCTCAAAATCAGGAGACTGGTAACACATTTAGTGCCTTTGTGTAAAATAGATAAAGGCCACTCCCTCTGGAGCACGAATTAGAAAAAGACACCCACCCTTTCTTCTGAGCAGACACTGTAGACTGAGACACCCTGGAGCAAGAGCACATTGCTCTGTCCATGGAAAACTGATTTCAGCCACAACTCACCCCTCAGCCAGGGACTCCATGCAGGCACAACCGATACAATTATTGGCAGTGGCTGTATACTATGGAAACATAGCTGGGATTTTGTTTTCATGCAGATATAAATATATAATTCTCAGATTGCTAAGTTATATTTGTTTCAGTAAACAAAGATATATGCCAGTTATTCTGATAAGCATTAGATATGCAATTTTTTTCAAATTTATATATATGCATTTATAATCTATTGGACTATGGATGAAAAAATTTTAATTTAACTTCTATTACCATTGCCCCTCTGGTATATCATGTGCTAAGAAACCTGGAATTCAAACCTATTTATAATATTAACATAAAACAATTAGGAAGGTAAACCTGCTGCCAGACTTTATGCGAACCATTCTAAAGCAAAGTTAAAATCTAGGAGTGGAAGGACTTACTTTAATTTTCTGGACTACTGCTCTTCTCCGTTAGTGTATATAAATAGGTATGACCCACAACTGAGAGAACTAATATATCCCAAAATAGTATTACATTGATAGTTTGATGTGCATAATCCTTTGAATGAGAAAGTAGGTCTAATTTAGAACAGTTGCTTTTTTTTTTTCTTAGAACAGTTGCTTTGAATTTGCTTTCATAGTAAAGCAAATTTAGCTTTAGTAAGTAGTAAAATTAGTAGCAGGGAAAATATTATCAATGCAGCTTATACTCTTAACTTTGGATTTCTCTTTCCTATTAAATTTGGTAATTTAGTATTGACTGTGTGTGTACACACTTAGTGGATACGTGTGGGTATCAACTATGACAAGGAAGTAGAAGATGGGCTCATAGTTTTGGGAAAGGAAAGACTTTTTGAAGTTCCTTTACACAAATTGAATCTTTAATATCATTTTTCCAAACAAAACAATAAATAGTGTTTATATCATATAATATGAGATCATATAGGATCTCAGAAACTTTATCCTGAGAGTGGGCAGGAGAGATGGAGTTATCTTTATTTTTCTCTGTTAAACCAGCAGTCCCTAACCTTTCCTTTCCAGTGGAGTTGAGAAAATTGAGTGGTAGGAGAGCATTTTTTTCAGATCATTGGAAAGACTTGCTCATCTGATTCTTTTCTAAAATCCTAGAATCTCCCAAAGGAGTCAAAATAGAAGATCAGAAATTGAATTGTAGGACCATCCAGAAAAGTAACCAGTTGTGTGGGTCTCCATGCCCTTCGGCTGGTACTCCAGCAATCAGTTATTTCATCTGTAAAGCAAGAATTGTATATTACCAAAGTAGTAGAAATTCCCTTAAATGTGGCTTACCTAATTGTTCCACATACATAAGAGGGGAAGAGGAAGAATGTTTCCTTGCCTTCTTCAAACCCAGGCAAAAATAGAGTAGGTAGAATTTGTTTTTAGACTCTTTATACCCCCTTTTTTGTAAATCTTTCTTGCTGCACTAATTCTTAGTCCTGTACAACCTCTCTCTACCCTCCAATTCTATTAATTCATTCTCACCTTCTCTCTAAATCAGGATAGCTTATTGCTTTGGTGTGGTCATCTCTGCAAAGTGTTAAGGGACAAGATGCTCAGACTGCATGGGAAACTAGTTCATACTAGCGTAAGAATGACTAATAGCTCCATACCCTCTTAGGGATAATTGTAGGTTATTATATGTTTATTATAAAAGAGAGTCGTATTATGTAAATTTTTAAAAAAGAAAAGGAAAACAAAGCCCATAATCCTATCACCCTAACCCAAAATTTATTTTTTAAAAAATTAATTTTGGTGTATATCTTTCTAGTTATTTTCCTAAATGTTTTACTTCTTTACTCAGAATGTACATAAAAATTTTTATTACTTTAAACAATATAACTATGTCCTTGGATGCCAGGATCTCTATGTGTGCGTGAAGGTGCATTAAAGAAGATGTTTATTAACTTTTAAAGAATGAAACTCTGGATGATATAAAGTATCAGTTCATGATTTATATTTGGGGTTGGAGAAAATATATTTTGGAGAAGAATTATAGAATAGGCTAACTGCCTTGGTCTAGGAGTCTGATTCCTAAGGACAGCTCTCCTAAGTTTTTCTGGTTTCCAGCTTCGTATCTTCTATCCCTTCTAAAATACAAGATCCTTTGAAACATTGGCCTTTTTTTTTTAAAGCATGGTTTCTTTTTTCTTTTTCTTTTCTTTTTTTTTTTTTTTTTAATTCATTCACGAGAGACAGAGAGAGAGAGAGGCAGAGACACAGGCAGAGGGAGAAGCAGGCTCCATGCAGGAAGCCTGACGAGAGACTCAATCCCAGTCTTCCAGGATCACACCCTGGGCTGAAGGCGGCGCTAAAGCGCTGAGCCACCTGGGCTGCCCCAAAAGCATGGTTTCTGTAATAGGATCTAATAGGAGGCATTGGGTTTAAGATCTGAATTTGGGGACTGCCTATAAAATATTTGTTGCCTTTATTTTTTCTCTTTAACTGTTGATATTACAAACTTCAGTTCTTGGAAATTTGAATGTATTTTTAAGAAAACTAACTCACCAACATGAATTTTTATTTTAATATTTAGGATTGTTCGGATAGATTTGAGGATATACCTGTGACCCCATTTAAGCATGCTGAACAAGCAAAATCAAGAACAAAGCTTTTAGGAAAAAGCTCAGATGATAGCCATAATCAGTTAAAACACTTCACAAGACCGAATACTGCTCCAGAGGTTAACAAACGGCAAGAGAGCTACAATGGAAAATTTACAAGTCCTCGAATGGTTTCAGCAGGTTTAGTGTACGTCAATGATGCAATCCCAAATTATGAAATCCATAAAATGCGGCAAAAAAAAAGATTAAGAGAGAATATTGAAAAGTGTTCACTCATTTGTGATATTATCCAAATGTTAAAAGTTCAAAACGATATATAAGGCCAACAGTCAATTTGTCCAATTAACAAAATGGTTTGGAGATCTGTCCTTTTGTGTGATAGAAATCAACCAAATTTCATCTTGTTAGAACCATTTTGTTTAAATTAAAATGAAAAAGAAGCACTTTTGATGTAAATGTGTTTTTGTTTATGAACCTTAGGGAACAGACCAAGAAATACATATTCAGTTCATATTTGTTAAGTTTTATTTTCCAGCTTTTCTTTTTACTGTATAACAATATCCTATCGGTTGATAGTCCTCTGATTTCCCAAATCTTTGTTAGTCTCTAATTATTTCTGTCTACCCAGTGTTCAGGGTCTTTATTTGCAGTTATTTATGTTTAGCCTTTTATTATGAATATACTTATTTTTGGCTCTAAGTATATTTCCAGATTCAACAGTATGTAATTTTCTGGGCTTAGGGAACATCCACTAATTTTAATATCATCTGCTATTACAACTTTTGTACTATAAGTAAATATAAGAACAGATTTAATACTATTTCCTGAGGCACCTCCTATGGTGGACCAACTCTTCTAACTTACTCAGAAAACTATGAAAGGACCTCTTTAATAGCATGAAACTTAGGAAATCACATTAAACTTTTATCACATTAAATCACATTTAATCACATTAAACAGGGATGCCAGGGTGGCTCAGCAGTTTAGCACCTGCCTTCATGCCCAGGGCGTGATCCCGGGGTTCTGGGTTCGAGTCCCACATCAGGTTCCCTGCATGGAGCCTGCTTCTCCCTCTGCCTGTGTCTCTGCCTCTCTCTCTCTCTATGTGTGTCTCTCATTAATAAATAAATAAAATTTTAAAACTGTAGAAACTGCATAAAAATTAGCAAGATCAACATAGGAGTTATTTTTATTATTTGAGAGAGACTTCTGAGAATTGGTTCTACCCCCCCCTTTTTTTAAATTCAAGTATAATTAACATGCAGTTTTATATTAGTTTCAGGTATACAATATAGTGATTCAACAATTCTATACATTACTAAGTGTCCATCAAGGTAAGTGTACCTTTAATCCCCTTCACCTGTTTCACCCATCCACCGACCTACCTCCCCTCTAGTTACATTTAGAGTCTGGTTTTTTGTCTTTTTTTATTGTTCATTTGTTTTTTAAATTCTACATGAGTGAAATCATATGGTATTTGTCTCTCTGACTTACTTCCCTTAGCATTATACCATGTAGATCCATTCATCTTGTGGCAAGTAGCAATGTTACTTTCTTTTTTATTGCTGAGTAATATTCCTATGTGTGTGTGTGATGTCTATCCATTCATCTAGCAATGCACACTTGAGCTGCTGCCATATCTTGACTATTGTAAATAATGCTCTAATAAACATAAGGATGCATATATCTTTTCAAATTAGTGTTTTTGTATCCTTTGGGTAAATACCCAATAGTAGAATTACTGGATCATATGGTAATTCTATTTTTAATTTTTTGAAAAACTGCCAGACTGTTTTCCACAGTGGCTGCATTGGTTTGTATTCTGGCAAACAGTGCATGAGGGGTATTTTTTCTCCACATCCTCACTAACACTTGTTATTTCTTATGTTTTTTATTTTACCCATTCTGACAGGTGTTAGGTAATTTCTCATTGTGGTTTTGATTTGCACTTCCCTGATGATGAGGGATGTTAAACATCTTTTCATGTGTGTATCTTCTTTGGAAAAAGGTCTATTCATCTCCTCTGCCCATTTTTAAACTGGATTATTTGTTTCTTTTGGGAGGATGAGCTGTATAAATTCTTCATATATTTTGGATATTAATGCTTTATTAGATATATAATTTGTAAATATCTTCTCACATTCAATAGGCTGTTTTTGTTTTGCTGATGGTTTCCTTTGCTATTCAAAACTTTGTATTTTGGTATAGTCCCAATAGTTTAATTTTTTTCCCTAGCCATAGTAGACATACTAGAAAAATGTTTCTATAGCTGATGTCAAAGAAATTATTGCGTATGTTTTCTTCCAGGAATTTGGTTTCAGTTCTTACAGTTAGGTAATTAATCCATTTTGAGTTTTTTGTACAGTGTAAGAAAGTGGACCAGTTTCATTCTTTTACATATAGCTTTCCAGTTCCCCGACCCCATTTGTTGAATAAATTTTTTATCTCATCAAATATTCTTGCCTCCTTTGTTATAGATTAGTTGACCTTAAAAGCATGGGTTTATTTCTGGGCCCTCTATTCTGTTCCATTGATCCTTTTTTTTTTCTTTCAAAACTTATTTTTTTAATTTATTTATGATAGTCACAGAGAGAGAGAGAGAGAGAGAGAGAGAGAGAGAGAGAGAGAGAGAGAGAGGCAGAGACATAGGCAGAGGGAGAAGCAGGCTCCATGCACCGGGAGCCCGACGTGGGATTTGATCCCAGGTCTCCAGGATCGTGCCCTGGGCCAAAGGCAGGTTCCAAACCGCTGCACCACCCAGGGATCCCATCTTTCAAAATTTAAATTCAAGTTCATTCACATATAGTGTAGTATTTGTTTCAGGGGTAGAATTTAGTGACTCATCAGTTAATATAACACCCAGTGCTCATTACATCAAGTGCCCTCTTTAATGCCTGACACTCAATTACCCCACCTCTCACCCCTACGTTTAAGTCTTTTCTGGTTTGCCTCCCTCTCTGTCTTTATCTTGTTTTTACTCCCCTTCCTCTATGTTCATCTGTTTTGATGGAATTCCACATATGAGTGAAACCATATGGTATTTGTCTTTCTTGGACTCATTTCACTTAGCATAATACATTCTGGTTGCATCCATGTCATTGCAAATGGCAAGATTCCATTCTTTTTGATAGCTGAACAATATTCTAGTGTGTGTGTGTGTGTGTGTGTGTGTGTGTGTGTGTGTGTGTAACATTTGGGCTATTTCCATGTTTTGGCTCTCACTGGTATATATGTCTGTTTTGTGGCCATACTGTTTTGGTTATTACAGTTTTGTAGTATACCTTGAAATCTGGGTTTGTGATACCTCCTGTTTTGTTTTTATTTTTTCAAGATTGCCTTGGCTATACAAGGTCTTCTCTGGTTCCATATAAATTTTAGGATTATTTGTTGTAGTTTTGTGATAGGTATTTTGATAGGATTTGCATTAAATCTGTAGATTGCATTGGATAGTATGAGCATTTAAACAATATTGGTTCTCCCAGTCAATGAACAAGGAATATCTTTCAATTTGTTTATGTCATCTTCAGTTTCTTTCATTGATGTTTTATAGTTTTCAGAGTAGAGATCTTTCATCTCCTTGGTTAAATATATTTCTAGGTATTTGGTTCTTTTTGGTGCACTTGTAAGTGAAATTGTTTCCTTAATTTTTATTTTTGCTATTTCATTATTAGTGTATAGAGATGTAACTGATTTCTGATATTAATTTTGTATCTTGCAATCTTACTGAATTCATTAGTCTGTTTTAGCAGTTTTTTTGTGGAGTCTTTAGGGTTTTCTATATATAGAAAAGAGTGAAAGTATTACTTCTATCCCAATTTGGATGCCTTTATTTCTTATTGTTGTGTGGTTGCTGTGGCCAGGATATCCAGTACTGTGTTGAATAAAAGTGATGAGAATGGACATCCTTATCTAGTTCCTGACCTTAAAGGGAAAGTTCTCAGCGTTAAGTATGATATTAGCTGTGGGTTTTTCATATATGGCCCTTATTATGTTGAAATATGTTTCTCTAAGCTTGATTCATTGACAATTTTTATGATTGGATGTTGTAGTTTTTCAAATGCTTTTTCTGCATGTATTGAAGTGATCATATGTTTTTTTTCTTTTTTAGATTTTTTTTATTTATTCATGATAGAGAGAGAGAGAGAGAGAGAGAGAGAGAGAGAGAGAGAGAGAGAGAGAGGTGGGGGGCAGACACACAGGCAGAGGGAGAAGCAGGCTCCATGCAGGGAACCCGACCCGGGACTCGATCCCGGGACTCCAAGACCGTGCCCCGGGCCAAAGGCAGGTGCTAAACCGCTGAGCCACCAGGGATCCCCAGATCATGTGGTTTTTATCCTTTTTCTTGTTAATGTGATGTGTCATGTTGATTAATTTTCAAATTTTGAACCACCTTTGTGTCCCAGAAATAAATCCCATTTGATTGTGGTGAATGATTTTTTAAAATGTATTATTGTATTCCATTTGCTAATATTTTGCTGAGGATTTTTATATCTATGGTTATCAGAGAAATAGGGTTTTGGGTTTTTTTCCATACAGTCTTTTTTAATTTTATAAATTAATTTTATTGGTGTTCAATTTACCAACATACAGAATAACACCCAGTGCTCATCCCGTCAAGTGTACCCCTCAGTGCCCGTCACCCATTCACCCCCACCCCCCGCCCTCCTCCCCCTCCACCACCCCTAGTTCATTTCCCAGAGTTAGAAGTCTTTATGTTCTGTCTCCCTTTCTGATATTTCTCACACATTTCTTCTCCCTTCCCTTATATTCCCTTTCACTATTATTCATATTCCCCAAATGAATGAGAACATACACTGTTTGTCCTTCTCCGGTTACTGTGGCCAAGTTCAAAAAGGGTGTTGCCTGAGTTCTCCTCTGGGATTTTGATGGAATCTTGTCTCACATTTAGATCTTTCATCTATTTTGAGTTTATCTTTGTGTATGGTGCAAGAGAGTGGTCCAGTTTCATTCTTCTGCATGTGGATGTCCAATTTTCCCAGCACCATTTATTGAAGAGACTGTCTTTCTTCCAGTGAATCGTCTTTCCTCCTTTATCGTATATTAGTTGACCATAAAGTTCAGGGTCCACTTCTGGGTTCTCTGTTCTGTTCCATTGATCTATGTGTCTGTTTTTGTGCCAGTACCACACTGTCTTGATGAACAGAACTTTGTAGTACAACCTGAAATCTGGCATTGTGATGCCCCCAGATATGATTTTCTTTTTTAAAATTCCCCTGGCTGTTTGGGGTCTTTTCTGATTCCACACAAATCTTAAAATAATTTGTTCTAAGTCTCTGAAGAAAGTCCATGGTATTTTGAT